ATTTCCAATGGCTTTCAGAGTAGGAACCCAAAACTGCACTTCCAGATCCCATAACTTTTGCAATCGGATCTCTATTTTGATGTGGGATACCTCTATGAGTTTGTGGTTGAATTCTCTTACAATCTACATTCAAATATTTCCTTCATACGACGGTCAAAATTTCAACCCATTTTCATGTTGAATTTTTTCGGATTTCCAATGGCTTTCAGAGTGTGAACCCAAAACTGCACTTCCAGATCCCATAACTTTTGCAATCGGATCTCGATTTCGATGTGGGATACCTCTATGAATTTGTGGATGAATTTTCTTATAAGCTACATTCAAATACTTATTTAATACGACGATCAAAATTTTAACCCATTTTCATGTTGAATTTTTTCGTATTCCCAATGGCTTTCAGAATAGGAACCCAAAACTGCTTTTCTAGATCCCATAATTTGGGTAATTGGATCTCGATTTTGATGTGGGATACCTCTATGAGCTTGTGTTTGAATTCTCTAAAAATGTGCATTCAAATATTTCTTTTATAAGAGGGTCTAAATTTTAGCCCATTATCATGCTCGATTTATCCTTATTTCCAATGGCCTTCAGAACTCAAAACTGTACCTCCCAATTCTAGGTTGTATATCTTTAATTTGTTTTACTTTAACTTAAGGATATTTTTGCAACGACTTTATTCATCTACCAGTGTCCTTTTCTGAGTTCCACAAACACTTTCGTTTCCGCCTGACCGTGCTCCCTCCTGCGACACCCACTTAAAACTATCCATAACTTACATTAGCTCATCGCAGGCACACCCAATTACGGTTGACTCGCGCTCCTTGCCCCTCCACCATTAACTTCTTGCCACAATCCGCAAGTTCGCAAGCCAAAACTCTGCGGCGAGTGCAAAAAACGCAACAAACCCGCCAACAAATCCATTATGAGCTTATGCCGCGAGCGCAGTGTAAACTTTTCACACGAATCGCGAAAGCTTCACTTTTTCCACGCCGAGCAATTATTTTAAATGCGCCGTCAACGCCGCCAAACACAAACTAACCAGACAAACAGGGGAAGTCCCGGAGTTTGGGTCCCAACTCCCGGAGTTTCGAGCCCCAAGTCCGGAGGAGCTGGAAATCCTCCTCCGACTCCGTGCGTGCATAATTAATTCAGCGCATAAATTCAAGACGCCGGCCCAGAAAGCAAAAGGAGCGGGGCAAGTCCCAAGGAGCTGAAAAGTCTATGAAATTATAAACTTTATCCTTTCGCGGCGTGAGTGTCAAATGGCGACTGGCTTTTTGATGTCGCCAGACAGTCAGCCATCCACAATTCCCGCGCACGACTTTAAATAAATTAAAAAACCTGAACGATTGTGCCAGATGGAAAATGCTCCCCAGTGGGTGGCAAAACTGTGCCACCTCTCTGCGGGGAACCCCTTTCAAAGGGGCGGGAAAACTAATCCAAATGTGGCAAAAGTATTCGATACAGATCAAACAACTTTCAGATAATTAAAACTGAAAGAGAAGAATAAATTGCTCGACGAAGTGAGAGATATCATGGATGAAGAGCTGGGGATATGCAAATCCCGTAAAGGACTCAGAAATGGATATGCAAATGTCTGCAGAAAAAGCAGAAGAAGGCAAGCAACATAAGTAAAAGCGGCAAGTAAAGGTGAGTGCTGCAAAAAAGTCCTGATCAAATATGGAAAAAGGATTGAAAACAAGAAGAAAAAGCTGCCATTGAACCATTTTAGGAGCCTAAATAATAACAGTTCAAGCGGAATTCAGTGTTCTAACAACTTTTGCACTCGGCCATTCCACTCGCATAAAAAACACAACCAGAAGCTGTCGCCAGTCGGCAGCTCTCCTATTTCCCATTTCCCATTTTCCATTTTCTCCGGACTTTTCCCCGCTTTCAATATTGTGTGCTTCAAGTGCTTTTGCTCTTTGCATTTTCGCATTGTCAGCAGACGGCGTCTGCTCCACATCCTTTGATTTTGATGCCTCGCCAGCTTGCTCCTGGCTCCTTAGACTCTTTGGTAATTGAAAACGCAAGTTAATTTCTCACTTGCCTGTTTCTTTGTTTGTTGGCTGGATTCGAGGATTCCAAGGATTCAAGGATCTCCGCAGGAGAGGCACGAGAAAACTGGGCATTGTCGCACTTATTGTATTAAGAAGATTTTTCGGCAAGTTTTCGTAATTAGTAAAGTTTTGATTGTGCGCCAGCCAATGTTCATTTGCGAAATGCCTTTCCCAAATTGATTTCAGTCCATGAAAATCAGCATAATCCGCCAGCTGGCAGCACTTTGCATAACCAGCCATCGTCTGGAGTCCAGGATGCCCCTTCAAAGCAGCTTTGCACTTCATTTTCTCCACAGTCTCGGGCTCTCATGGTCAGAAAGTGCATAAATTGGAGGTGAAAAAATGCTTTTTCCGCCACGTCAAGGAACATTTATCGCCATTCGAGACAGGACTTCGGGCAGTAAGTAGCTTAGAACTTGTTTTACCCACCGAGGCGGCAAAAAGTGCGCACTTCATTGATCAGCATTGCCATGGCTGGGCAAATATTCAAAATTTGCTCAGGCACGATGCGATAAGCAAATGCATATGGGTTTTTTGCCAACTGTAATCGAGCATTTGAATTTGCATTTGCAAATGTGGAAATGTGCCGGGAAAACTTTGCCGCCAACGCAGAGATGACAAAAAGGCGGTGGCAGCGTCCAGATAGTGGCATTTGCACTCGAAAAAATTATCAGTGAGTTTTGGCAGTGATGGCAGTGAAATTACTATAATTTTGAGTTCACTCGTATAAGTGCCTAAAAATATGCAACGAATGGTTTTTCATCTTCACATCTATGACCTTATGTCGAAAGATGGCTTTCTTTTTTTACTGCATACTTTAGACACCTATTCAAAAATCACCCTAAAATTTTTAAAATATTTTCTATTTCTTTTTATGAACACAAACTTATAAATTCAATTTGTTTCCTTTTTTTACCAGTGTTTCTGCGTTTTCCCAGAACTCTGATGATACAGGTGCCAGCGACAATTGTCGCAGTCACGTAAGGATCAAAAGCGTTGCAAAAAACGCAGACACAGCCATGACATAGATGCGAAAGCAAACTGTCATGTGGCAAAATATGCGCTGCTGTCCCCAATGGACAGTAGTCCGGAGTCCGGAGTCCGGAGTCCGGAGTCCGGAGTCCGAAGTCCTTTCATATCCTGCCTGCTCGGCATCCTGTCCGTGGGCTAGGCACACAAATGAAGCTTTGATGCCATCAAATCGTGTTTGATGGCGGGTGATAGGCGGCAGGTGAGGCCATTGATTGATTTTACCCTCCTGCAAAACAAACTAATAAGCGAGCGCGCAGTTGGGGAGACAAGCCTTTATGGCGGTGCAACAGTGCGTATGCGTGTTGCACACTGCGTATACGCCACGTATACGCAACGGGGAACGCGGTGGCATGTGGAAAGTGCATTTATATGGCAGCAGCAATCGCTTTTAAGCACCGAACAATGCAGCTTCCACGCATGAACAGTTCGCAGCTGGATCAAAGTTGCTGGCGCACACCGCACACACATGGCACAGGTTCGCACACACTCGCCACACACACCCACCGCTTGCTTTTGGCCTTGTCAACACACTTTTGCAGGTGGGCGGATTTCGGGACCACGCCCCCTGGGGATGCATTGTGCAACGGCACACAACACATGTGCCAAATTCCACCGGATTTACTCGATATATTACTTACAAATTGTTAAAAACCCGAAAGGGGAAAAGATGCGAATTAAGCTGCGTATGAAATGTGCTGGGCAAATAAAATAGGAAGAAAATATTTCAAACATCTTTCGAATAGTTCCCACAAAATAGTTTTTTAGACGTGCAAGGCGATAAACATTTATTTTTAGTTTAATTTAGTACTATTTACTTAACAAAATTGTACTTCGATCAAAATGTAATAAAAATATTTACTAAAATAAAATGTTTTAAATATCTTTACATTTTATTTATACATGCATTCTACATGTCGATTTTCATTTCAAATATTTACATTTTACCATGTAAACTACACGTAGACCTTGGCAGCAATACGAACTACGTGCGGTTTCTGCAAAGGGAACACATCGTTATTTAAGAAAAAACCGATAGGGGCGCCCTACCTTGAGCACCAATGAAAGATCCGCGAACCGAAGTACTAAACCAAGTAGATGGTGTTTTAAAAGTTCAGCTCGTAGTGATGATACGGCAGTTATGCCTAACTTGTGGACAATAGATACAATGTCAAGTTTTTGATCCGGGTTTTGTAAAGGAAGCAGGCCAGTCTGTGGTTAAGGGTTATACCGCACTCGGTTATTCCTAAGTATTTGAACACAGGTTTGACTTTGTGGTATAATAAAATATAATTGTTGCATTATAAACATTCGTTACTATTAAAAAAACACACTTCCTGAAGCTGTCAAGAGCGTATTAAATTATTTTTCAAAAATCCCACGACCTCTGGTGCAAACATTCGAAAGCTCTTTCAGGACATGCGCGACAGGACTCAGCTGACCTTGAGTACCACAAAAAATACGACAATCCCCGAGAGCAGCAATCCAAAGAACGTTGGGCCAAGCCGAAAATTTATGCGCGGGCAACAAAAGGCATTTGAATCGGCAATCGCCGTGAACGTGAGCAGACGTCTCATAAAAAAAAACCCAAAAAAGGCAAGAGAAAAATCCCAGGAACACGAGGGCCTGGCATAATTTGAAAGACCAAGCCCTCGATGACCATCCTCTAAGAACCAAAGAACCCTTGATAAAAGCCGGGGGTTGTGCGTTGCCCTCGGCTGCGAAATGTGTAATTTGCAGTTCGCAAACAGTTCTCAAAAACGTGGTCTGCCGAAGGCTACGGCTTCTGCCTCAAGTCCCTCTTATCGGAGAGTTTTATCGGTATACCGGGGGGACTGAGTTCTATACTCTGATGATTGCTCTCTCGCTTTCTGACGATGCTGTAACCACGAACTGCCCGTCAGTAGAACGCGAACTGTGGCCACGAAAACAAAACGGGTCTTGTACATAATTTATATTTTCTCACATCGCACAGCGTAAATTGCAGAAAAATATTATTTCTCAACAGTTCTTAACAAATACTTCATCTGAAAGTGTATCGAAGATGCTTAGAACTCGTATGTTTTAACTTAAAGTGCTTATAAGTGGTTCGTGAGTCGCAGCAAAAAATCAATTATAATTTGTGTGTAAGTATGCCAACAGAATCCGTGACATTTTGTCTTTGGCTTGCCCTTTGTGGGCTATTTTGGGCCAGGACGTCACAAATGCCACTCCCTGACGTCACAAACCACCCACGCGAACAGCTTCCGAAAGCTTTGCCAGACACTTTGGCGCCGCTTTTCATGGTTAATAAAGTGTTACCTATATATCGACACGAGTCTGATGCAATGTCAACCTGCGATTTGGTCAGAAACGTCACGAATCGCGAGATAGTACTTGAAATGCCAGCCACGTCGATAAGTACTTGGGCTTAGAGTCGATCTCGAAATTAATGAGCCTCGTTCGACGGTGGAAACATAATACCCACGACCCACCTATTCTGGAAAGGTGTGTTTTCCTCGACTTATTGGCTATTGGCACGCCGGTAGTGTAGGTATCAATTGCTCATTTGCTTCTTTGGCCAGTTCAATGCCTTAAAAAGGAGGGATAAACCCTTGGCCTTGACAGAGAGCCTGAAATTTATTGGCATTCGCGAGATGCATCACGAATTGTAATTTAATGAAAGCGCTTAAATTGTTTTCTGAGCCCGAAAACCGCAATTTGTCAGCCCAAACAGATGTCAGAGATTAGGAATTAAGTATACAATTTGCTTAGGCATGAAAGCTGGCAAAAAGATCAATTAATGAGCGTGATAAGCATTTTACTCTCTATAAACCTTAAAGATTTGTACACAGAAATTAAAAATATGGATCGATTGATGAAATATACATTTTATTATTTGATTTAGTTTAGAATATTAGACAATAATGTATTTTGGCTTCTATTACTTTAAACCTTAATTTAACATTCAATACGCAAAGCCGATCAGCTGATAGGACCGAGAGTTAACGCTTTTGCATTCCAAGCAAGATCCAAAAGACCCGATTTTATCAAGCGACTTTCAGGCTTAGTATATCAATTTCCTAACGAGTCGGGGAGCTCTTAAAGTGCCGCACTTCATGAGGAGAATTAATATAACAAGATGATCGCACTTAGAAATACCTTCTAACCGGCTACATATGACGTCGGGGGACGCACCGCCAATTGTCGTTAATTCGGGATTATATACACAAATTGCTAATAAAGGAGAGATTAAGCAGCCCGATGATGGGTACTTAGCAGTTTGGGAACAGAAAACCGGCCGCGGGACAGATCGCAAAATATATCGACAGTCAAATCATCAAAAGCTGGAAATCATCTGCCTTTGTTTCGTTGGTCAATAAACTCGAATGGCCCGAAGCGAAATTTAGGTTGAAGTAACGCTGAAAGGCGGCAAACATTCTCGGCAATACAAGTTATTTAAATAAATTATACTGGGAAATTGCAGACGCGACGCCATTGTGCTTCAGTTGGCGACAGATTGCGGAGACTTTGAATGTGCTTTGAATGCTTTGAATTAAGTCATTTGTGTAGATGTGGATGCAGAAAGTACCCGGCTTACTGCGGATATATTCAATTATAGATCGGGGCAAGTGGGCAGCCAGGAATAGATTTGAATATTCGCGCGAAAATCAGAGCTTCTTATGTCCAATTTGCATTTTCAAGCGACGAAGGCAGCCTACGCGTGAGCGTGGAAAGATACACGACAAAAGATACTTTTGTATCGCAAAGGGTACATAGAACCTAGGTTCTAAGCAATTTGACTGAAGGGTACGGTTTTTACCCATGTGGTAACAATCTTTGCGGAACCTAAGTACCCTTCGCGATACAAATGTATCTTTTGCCGTGTATCTTGGGTTCTAAGTACCCAAAGATTGTTACCACATGGGTAAATAAACCGAATACCTTCAGTCAAATTGCTTTTGTTCTTGAGCTTGTCTCTGTGTATCTGTTAGATAAAAGCCAGCGTGTACCATTTTCCGCCTGCCAAAGCAAACAGAAGAAATGAGAACCATTTTTCGGCAACCGAAAAGGCCAAAAACCGAAAAAACAAAAGGTACGAGAGTCCGACAACCACGATCACGGGAACAAACAAAACGCGGCGTCAAAAACTTGTTTCGGTGAAATTACAAATTCAAAAAACACAGATTGCCGGTTAGAAACAAGCGAGCCTCTCAAACGAACTTCGAACAGGTTCGAAGTAGCGCCAAGCCGAGCTTTTGTGGCTTTTCAGATATCTGAAAACCTGTAGCTAAAACTCATTTGTTTACTACAAAACTGTCTTCACATAATTTGACTAACTTATTTTATCGTTCTTGTTTTTAATATCTTTTTTAACTTCAATGAATTTAAATAAACAAATTGCTATAGTATTAAGATAATTTTTTATCCTAAAATATTCAGTGGGTTAAGTTAATTGTTTAAATTATAATGTACTTTTTAAAAATTAATAATAATAATAAAAATCCCTTCGAATGCTCAAGTTCATTCTCTGTGCATAACAGTGTAGGAGATTTCCACAATCGACCAGTCCCGAGTCCGATTAACCTCTGGCTGAGATTTCCGGAGCGAAGATGCCTCGGAGCGCAATGGAATCGCCGGTGGTTGTCAGTCTGCTGTACCCGCTGAATGCGTGCGGTTCTCGTTCTCCGGCGCAACTTGTTGGCAACTGGAAATATCAGTTAGTAAAGCCCTCTTAATACACGGAAAAAGTGCTCGACCTTCTTGAGCAGGTAGCAAAGCCTAGTCACCTCTCTAGTACTCAGTTCTCAGCGTTAGTCAAATAGCATACAATTTACGTAGATAAAATATGTTTGCTCTGTACAAGCAACACTTGTGTTTGTGATTAAAAATGCAAAAGAAAAGAACAATAAAAATTCCATCAAAATTAAAAAGGTGTTAATAAAATGGAAAAATAACAGTGGTGAAACACAAATTTAAATTAAAACGCATGATGCGCTTTTGGCAACTCATAAAAACGCTATTAAAAACTGCCCGCAACAATTTATGTGTGCAGATCTGTTATATATACCAAATACCCGAAATGTTCAATTCTTGTTTAAAGTATATATTAGAATTGGCGCTGAGTGAACGCCTAACTCAAACCTGTTGATAATCGAGCCTGTTTCCTCTTATTTTGATTTTTGTGAATCAAACGAAATTCTTTTTAGACCCTGATAAGAATTAGGTGGTTGAGATGTTCTTGGTGATAATCAGCACGAGGAAAACAGTTCTGAATCCAGAATGGGGAACTAATTTAAAAATCGAACTGGAAGAATCTAGATTTGGTTAGAAAAAACATTTCATTCTGATTATCTTGTAATTATATTAATCCACTAATGGGTGTTTTCTGTTTCTCTTTGAAAGTAACTCCCTATTATGCTCATTATCCAATTGTAATTTCGAAACAGATGGCCTGCGTATGATATTTTGCCAGCGAAAAAATCAAATTTTTCCACAATTAGCTTCAATTAGTTGATAGCCCAGGCTAACTATGCATATATTAAGCACTTGCCACGAAACTGATAGCCCACCAGTGATTTATATGGTCTATACAATACCGAATTCTGTTTACTATACCGAAATTAATGGATTTCGTTAGTTCTTTGTGGCACTGCGTTTTTGTTTACGCCTGTGGTGCGCACACGAACACCATTTTCGATGAATCAATAGTGTGCTTTGTATCTTGATTTGTGCATAAATTGGGTCAAGTAAATGGTAGCTGTGGTGCAAAAGACCTAATTGCCCTGGAGTGAACTAATGACAATGCCTTTCACACGTAAAATATACCCCCTGCTGGCAAATGACTAAGTCATGATGCAAACCCAGATGCAATGTGAATTCCAAAGATGTAATTTCGTATTTTTCCCCGCTCGGATTTCACTTGAATTCCGCACTAAATAATTGGAATACCCCGAATACCGATACTCCATTAAAATCCATAATCTATTCGTGCGAGATCTGGAGTAATTGTATCTTTTTCGACCGTTTTCACTCCGTTCGGCTTGGCTGGCCAACTGTAAAGCCAAGAATATCTAACATCAGATGGCCAATTAGCAGTTGAGGGTTATAGATCCGAGTTATGGATCTGGTGTTCATTAGTTTTTTTCACCTGTTTGTTTTGATTGTGCCATTCTATTCTACCAGTTATTCCATAACTGAATCACACATCGTATTATTTTGTTTGTTGTTCTCGCCTCTTGATGTTATGCTAATTTATGCAAAGCGTGGGTCCAGTACCGGCCTCCGCTTTCGCTGAGGAAGTCACCCCCTTCCCCTTCTGCCACATGGTGAATATGTATACTAAGGTAAACAATTGGCGTGACCCAATCCCATAAGTGGGCGGGCCACTTCCTTGGCTTTGTGCCGAGTTCATAGGCCCACACGTGCCTTCCTTCAGAGGCTTATCAATCAATCTTCAGGCTCCGTCAAACTTTTACGCCGAAAGGAATGGCTATAATATAATTTTTGTGGGTTTAACGAACCCCAGTCCATTGCTTCCCACCATGTAATGAAGTCACGACTGATTGTAGGACCATGACAGACAGTTAAATATCTGTTGAATCACATACAAATACATTTTTTAAAATAAAAATATAATTTTTATTCCAAAGTTAGATACTTTTTCTCTGTGCAAATAATACTCTAAAAGCTTGTGCCCAAAAATGCGAATATAAAAGTCCAAGTAAAAGTAGAGCAAGCTTTTTACTTCAGCCAATGACCTTTAATTACCTTTCACTCAAAAAAAAGTAGGAAGGGAATCGTGAAAGGGAGAACTTAAGTTCAGAGGCATTGCCTTCTCTTAGAATTCACAAGCTGAGATTATCAACTGCCTGGCAAACACTTTTCGAAACATTAAAATTAAACATCTGATAAAATCCAGACGTTGCTCAAGCAAAATCACAACTTGGCACATCATCTAGAATTTAATATTTAGGATTGAATTTCCTCTCTTCGCAATTAGCACGCCATTTCTCAAAGTCAGTGGCAGAATCGCAAATTCCCCTCCAGAGACAAATGAATAATTAACAGCATTAAGAAAGCAAGTTCATTAGCTAAGAGGTACGTGAATTGAAGGAAAATACTTTTTCTTTTAAGCACTGTGTTCAAATCATATACTAAGCTAAAAGGTTGACTATAAATAGACTTTGAACCAACTAAACACGTATAATTTATTGATCTATAAAGCTATGTTGTAAACAATCATCATGTAATTAATCGATGGGGGGTAGATTCTACAAAAAGTCAAAGGTATGGGGAAAACAAGGTGGTTTACTTTATGACTGGCAAGACATTCAGTAAAACCTAAAAAAATGATTAATTAGCTTAATATTAGTGAGAAATTCAAAGAAATCCAAATTTGTTTTGTTTTTTTGAGGTAACCCATGAAGATTAACCGATTAAGAAATTTAGAGTAAAATTCATTTAAGTATGTCCAATGGAGATTGTCCAAAGCATTTAAAAAGATTATTGACCTTCTATGTAGGTCAGAAAACAAGTGGTTTTGGCTTTTAGTAAAGAATATCATATTTATAATAAATATTGTAAACCCTATTTTTATACTTTCCAGGAAACTTGTAATATCCGAAGCGCAGTGCTGACAGCATGGAAACGGAGTCTCTGAATCGCAAAAACTCCTCGCGAAAGAGTTCGATCGTGAACGGGAATGGAGATGCCTCCGCCAAGTTGACCAACGGAGATGCAGATGGCGGCGATGGAGGCGGAGGTGGGGAGGTGACCCTGAAGGCCAAGATGAGCCTGCTCAACGGGTGCACCGTCATCGTGGGCTCCATCATCGGATCGGGCATCTTCGTGTCGCCCACGGGAGTGCTGATGTACACGGGCAGCGTTAACCTGGCCCTCATCGTTTGGGTCATTTCCGGACTCTTCTCGATGGTGAGTGCTAAAGCTCATAAATTCCAATAACCTGATATGCAAATGGGAGTAGGGCACTCGATAGCCCAGACACCTGTTGCCTTTTGCTCCAGGTGTAAATTACCCTCCGGTAAATAACAGCTGGGTGGCAAAAGTGGAAAGATCGAGTGGGTGGAACTGGGAAGGGACTTTCTCATTCCACCGACGCTTAATGAAATTATTGAAATTCCTACACCCAATCCAAACGCCCAACCACCCACACACCCACACAAAGGCACGCACACAAACATGACAAGTTCATGTCAAACGCAGGAAATGCGGCTTTAATAAAATAACGTATACGCAGTGGTGCTGGTGACAAATGACAGCAATTGCGCACTCCTAAAGCACTTAAAAACTGAAAATAAAATCGAAAGAAACCCTGTATTATTTTAAAACTGGAAGATAGTTGTTTATCCATAACATATTATATCTTGTTTTATAAAAAAGGAATCCTTTTAAAAATATTATATTTGTTAAACCTTCTAGGTGGGTGCCTATTGCTATGCGGAGCTGGGAACAATGATCACCAAGTCGGGAGCTGACTACGCTTATATCATGGAGACCTTCGGCCCCTTTATGGCCTTCATCCGTCTCTGGATCGAGTGCATGATCGTGCGACCCTGTTCGCAGGCCATCGTGGCCCTCACCTTCAGCACCTACGTCCTGAAGCCATTTTTCCCGGAGTGTTCTCCTCCAGAGGACTCGGCCCGCCTCCTCGCCGTCTGCTGCATACGTGAGTTTCAATGGGTTTTCAATATATTTACTTTTTTTGCGGGCGGAAGAACCTCCCCTGAACCGCAATCTCTGCACTCGCGTACTTGACCCATAGATTAGAAACAATTAAAATGCATCCCCCGAGTAGTAGGCAAATAAACACGCTGAAAGAGTTTGCCATATGCACCAGGCTTATCAGTGTGCCAGAATGGGAGTGTTTTGTTTTGATTTCAGCTTGGAAACAAATACAGATTGGACAAAAAAAAATATATTTTTTCATGAAGAAGTATTCTGAAGAAGAAATATTATCAAATTTATATTATTTATCCTACTCATATATGATTATGACTCAACAGAAAATGCGATTGAAAGCTTTAGAACTCTGAACTTGCGATAGGACTGAGTTAAAATAACACTAATTCTGATAATGAAAATAATTACTAATTTACATTGTTTATCGTATTTATACATTGGAAAATTTAAATGAAAACAATTATTTGTCATAAGCCAGGACTCCAACAAAGTATTATAAATCACCAATTTAATGTTTATAATTTTAGTAATCTCGTCAAAAATGTTGTGTGTACTGACTTAAATAACCACAAAATTTGTCAAAAATAAATTTTAGCTTGTCGGAAACCACCACCATAATTTATCTAAGTTCAAAAAACTTTGAGCGATATTCTTAAAAATGACAGTTAAATGGTCAATCACTTCCCCGCTTAGTTTAAAGTTTCCAATGCCCAAACCCACTTGTTGATAGTCGCGTTTCCCCCATAGCTCATTTAATAGTATTAATACTGATTTAATTGTGCGGAATCAAGTGCGTTTGCATGAAACAATAGCGCGGGCAATAAATAACGAGTTGTCACATTGTCACATGAAAATCCTCGCGCTATTACATCACCCACATGGGTCGTTCGCATCTGGGGTCTTATATCTTCGGCGTGACTCCAAAGTCGTGATGGGCATGGGTGATGGGGGCTCGAATGTGGGTTAAGCGGCCTTCTCAATACATATTTTCTATATATTTTTCCATTTTCCCCGTTTACTTTACAGTTGTGCTAACCCTAATCAACTGCTGGGATGTGAAATGGGCCACTGCTGTGCAGGATATCTTTACGTATGCGAAAGTAAGTCGGTTAGATTGTTTTTCCATGGACTAAAAGGCTAACTATTTGTTTCTCCCTGCTTACCAGCTGCTGGCCCTGTTTATCATCATTGCCACTGGCGTTTACCAACTATATCTCGGCAATACGCAATACTTTACGTTTGAGAACACGGACACAAAAGTCACCTCCATCGCTTTGTCCTTTTACTCGGGACTCTTTGCCTACAATGGATGGTAAGAGGATTACTGGGGACGTCGAAGACTCTGGAGGGACACTTACTAATTGGATTTGTTTGCTTTGCTGTTGACAGGAATTACTTGAACTTCATCATTGAGGAGCTGAAGGATCCCGTCAAGAATCTGCCCCGCGCCATTGCCATCAGTTGCACCCTGGTGACCATTGTCTATGTGATGGCGAATGTCTCCTTCTATACCATCCTGTCACCGGATGAGGTCATGGGTTCCTCAGCCGTGGCGGTGACCTATGCGGAGCGGGCCTTTGGCATGCTGGCCTGGACCATCCCAGGTGGGTTGACCCTAATAAGCTGATTTTATAAAAGAGGTCCTTATGGCTTGGTTTGATTTTCCAGTTTTTGTGGCCCTTTCCACCTTTGGAGCAGTGAATGGTATTCTGCTGACCTCCTCCCGACTCTTCTATGCCGGAGCCAACAACGGACAGATGCCCGAGATCCTCACCATGATCCAGATCCAGAGATTCACCCCCACTCCCGCCGTTTTGGCCATGGCCCTGCTGTCTATGCTGTACCTCACCGTATCGGACATCTTCGCCCTGATTAACTACGTGGGCTTTGCCACTTGGGTGAGTTGGGCAATATCCTTTGCTAGATCCCTAACTAACCATAAATTTCCCCCCTCAGTTGAGTATTGGCGTGGCTGTTTTGTGCCTGCCCTGGCTGAGATGGGCCCAACCCAATCTGCCGCGACCTATCCGAGTGCCCATGGTGTTCCCCATTGTCTATCTAATCGCCACCATGTTCGTGACCGTGGTGCCCATGTACGCCAGTCCCATAGAGACCGGATATGGCATCCTGATGATCCTGTCCAGCATACCTGTCTATCTGGTGTTCATCGCCTGGAAGAACAAGCCTATCTGGTTCCAGAAGACCATGGGTAAGTGGGCTAGCCCATTCTCACATGACAAAAACTGCTTCCTTCCTGTTGATTTTCACTTATTCACGCTGTGATCCCCACCCATTTTTGATATTCTAGGCGGACTGACACAAGTTCTACAGAAACTGATGATGGTTGTGCGTCCCAAAGCGGCGTCAAAGGTTTTTAAGTTTGCTATTTTATCCTAGTTTTACCTTGGTTAATCCATTCGACTCACCTGCCTGCCTTTTAATTTAGCACTAATTTCTAGAAGAGTTGATAACTCCACTAACCAACCACAAGATTTGCAACCTCAAACTTTACTTTGCACCCTAACTCTAGCTGATATGGTAGATTAATAATATTTAGATAACTCACAACTAATCTCGCATATATTTTCTATACCTTCCAGTAAGCTCACACGATTCCTACAAAAAATGCTCATGGTACTCGGAAAGCAGACGAAACCAGCTCAGGTGTAAAAAGTAAGGAACGTTCTTCGGGAAAACAGCAGAGATTAGTTTTCAAGTTAGCCAAGAGCAGAGAAAAGCATTTAAAGCACACATTTGATTGCATGATGCATTATATAGACAACGTAAACGCTTTTGTGTAGCCAACCAATGATATACATACAAAAACACACAAAAATTTCTGCCAGCTTCTGGGCGACAATACAATATATACTATATATATTTTTATATACACATGTAAGTCTTAAGTTGAAACTGAAGCATGGCCCAGTGTCCAGTAGGTTTACGAAGTAAGTCCAAATTAAAGTTCAGCTTTGGTTCCGAACTTTATGGAAAGACTGTGGAACAAAAAGGATATACAAGGAATATTAGGTGTCCAGAGCTGAACTTCAATTGGGTCTTTCGAATTTGGCATTTTTAAGAGAGCTGTGCAAGCAGAACGAGTCTTTTACGATTTTCGAGTATTCTCAAAAAGGTAAAGCCCCCACAAAAAGCTTTTGTTTAATAATTCATGTCGAAACTAGTTTTTTAAAACATTTAGGAACCATGCTCTAGGCTTGGCTTTGAAGTAGAAGAGCTAGAAGAACGCTTGAACATACTCAACAGAAGGATCTACAGAGTTAATTCTAATACCTATCAATCATGAACATTTAGAGCACATTTGATTACTTTTCATTGATTTAAGAGTCTAGCTTAAGTGGCACTGCAATTTTATTTCATTTACTTAAGTTTAAAACTACCTTTAGGTTGCTCAGTTTAGGTTTCATTTGTGCATCGTAGGGAGTGATACATGTACAAATCCTGGTCGAATCTACAAAATACAAAAACCATCGCCCAATGCACATATCCAACAAGAGAAATGATTTAAAGTTGTTAACGAGAACAGGAACATTGCCAACATACATATTAAATATATCGAGAATAACACTATATGCAAATTGTTGTCTAATTACGAAAACCAATCCTATCGAATCGAATGTATGTAGCATTGATTTAAACATTCATTAGTTGTTGTTGCTTTGAGTGTTCGGCACTAAGTGTTATTCATATAAAAATATTATTGCCTATTCAGCATTCAACTCTTTAACTGTTACACACATACAAAATATGGAGCCGCAGCTGGGGAATCTGTTTAACTACTATGAAACATATTGTTGACAATAATAATGTATTTATATATAAATGTATATTATATTAAATGTATACCCCTTAGAACCTCTGTCTTTCTGGAAATAAGAACGATCAAGTGAATAAATCGACAATTGAATATTTATTTTTTCAGGTTTTCACTTGGGAAAAGGAGTTTCACTAAACATCACAGGTGTCACGGTGACATTTAGTTAAACTTCTAATCCCCGAAAATGCTGGAGTCCGGCGTATTGATGTACTGGATCAAACCGAGCTTAGATTCTCTATCTCCCTTTGCTTGAAGACCTTCTCCGCCTCCGAAAGTTCGTAGTTCTTTGTGCTAATGTAGACTTTCAAAGTGGGGGCGAAGGTGGTTTTCTCCGCATCAGTTTCCAGTCTTTTAATTCCTTCTTTAAGACGGAGTATGTTTTCCTGGTTGAATCCACTTCCCTGTGTGGCCTTTGCAGCCTGGCTCCATCGCCACCACTCTCGTCGATCTCCTCACTCAGATTTGATTGATAGATCTAATTTCACTGCGCAGGTCTAAACTTTTCCGCCTATATAGATTCACAAAATGCTGCTCCATGGCCAGTTTTAGCTCCGCAAACTTTGAATCTATGCGTCCATACCAGTAGGCCAGACCATTATAGTCCTCATGAGAGAACTTGGCAGTACGACGCCAATGGGCTAGGGTTATGTCAGGCACTGATCTCACACAGCTACGGGTTCCAGAGGCCCTGCTTACCTTGTTTAAAGTAATAGAACTTGGGAGACTGATTTCGGTTCAGATTTAGCCATTATTTTCGGGATTTCTCCAGGGATCCATAAGCTATGTCCGCCAGCTTCAAGATCTTGCGTCTCGATCACTTTGATCGGGAGCTATGGGCAGTTCAAACATAACCACTGCAGAATTGGGACTCCTAAAGTCAAAGGACTCCTTCAAGCAATCGTTAAAAGGGTACTACCATTTTGCCTGCCCTGTGGCAAATGTCTAAAGAACTCGACCAAATCGGGTCGGTTTTCGCTGCCAAGATGTGAAAATTGAAAGATGAACCTGTGCTGCAAGGCCAAGCTATCCCGGTACACAAACTCAAAGTCCAAATAGTCATCGCCAATTCCACGATCTCTTATGGAGGTAAGGTCATTGGTTAGCCACTGGAACAGCTCCTCGTGCTGGGAATACTTTTTCCACAAGGTGTGACCCTTCGTCGATTGGGTACCGCAAGGGGTTCCACCAACATGTTGACCATGTCGAATTTTCTGACATCAAAGTAGTCTATGTTAACTGATTTCAGACGACAGCGCATTCCTACATCACTTTGTCCACCTCAGTTACCAATAGGCGGGTCAAAAGTTGGGGTTGTGGTTCCTTTGGCTTGTGATACGCAGCAGACTTCCATGGCGTCGGTGACGGAACATTTGGCCAATATAATCGCTTAGTTCCGCCCTGATGTGATTCTCAAAATCATGGCCAATGGCATCGAATTCCAAGTGACGGTAGTAGCGAGGAAGATCCACATGATTACCAGGCTTAGCTGAGCTATTTTGCACCCTCAACAACACTGACTTGCTGTCCAATATCCTGATATCATTCTCCACATTTTGATCATCCACATGACCACGTCGCTTGGGACCCAGCACTAGATGATTTTTTTTGGTCGCCGGGTGGCTGTTCATGGTCCAGAATTTTTTTATTCTTTCGGTGAAACGTTAATTTGGAAAACTAGAATTTTGATAGTCTAAAAGTATGCTATTTGAATCAAGACAGCTAGATCATTTCATTATTTTAGACTATATTGTAGGTTAAAATTAATACAAATGGTTACCACACAAGACATTTTAAAGGAAATGAACGACATATATTAGAAGTAAAACCTTCCCTAGTTATTCTTATCCACCAAGTTATTTATATGATGCAAATTCGCATGGGAGGCCTGCAGAAAATGGCCAAATTCTGTATTGGCTGTCTGTTTAAGTAGTTCCTCGTACTGGGCCAATTGGTCATCGAATCGTTGCCGATAGCCTTTCAGTTGCTCCGCCTTTTGGATGTACTGCATCAGACTGGCATGGACCAGTCTAAAGCGATCTTGGATCTCTTGCTGTTGGCTCTCCAAGTGATTCAAGTGGGCAAAGGAGCAGGGGGAAGACTAAAAATAATAATAAGTATTGGCGGGTGGAAAACATAAGATACTCACCTGGGAACCCGATTGGGTGCCATTCTGCCGACTGACCAGATGAGCCAGGCTGAGGAGCTGGGCATTCTGGGCATCCACCTGGGAATTGGTGGCCACAACGTGGAACATGACAGGCATGTACAAGGATTGGCCGCGACTCCTTTTGGTCACATGCATCATAAAGTCTATGAGTTCGGTTGAAGGGACAGCGGGTTCAATTTCCTCATCATGAAAGTAGCCATGTAACCTCGCAGGGAGTCCACACTGAGCTCCTCCATGGCCACCAAAAGGATGGACAGTCGGACACGGAACCGAAGTCGCCTGTCCTCGAGGACACCATGTACTCCACCTCCAGGGCTTCGTGACCGGGTCCTGTGCTAAGTTGTGCGCGCATCCTGTACTGATTTAGGAGCCACAACATCAGGCCATGGAGGTCGTCGAAGGCACGCTCCACTTGCAAGCTGTTTCCCTCGTCGTCCTCCAGCAGTTTCCTGAACCTCAACGCGCCCTGATACAGGTGGAGACCCTCGCTTTGCAGCATCGATCTCACCTGGATCACCAGGGTGTCCAGGAGGAACATCAGGTGGCACTCGCGTCTCACCCTCAGATGAATGAGGAAACCATCTCGCCGCTTCCCAAAGAGATGGTTTAGAAGGATGGGAATCTCTTGGCCACATTCCCTTGTGCTCAGCACATCAAAGTGAAACTTTTGGCACATGATCAAGTGCGGCTTGGAGCTATTTTGGCAGTAAAGCAGTCGGAGGCTGTGCTCGTCCAGAATATTCACCTGGCCGCCATATTGGAAGCCCTGAGCCGGCGGCTCTTGTCCCCTTCCCGATGCACAAACTCCAGTGAAGACTGCTCCGTCGCGTTGCCCTGGTTTTCCGGCGGTCTTATTGTCATTGAACTGCACCACAGCTCGGATCTGCTCCATGATCTCAATCACAATTACAGGTAAATTTAACACGAAAAACGAAGTATTTGTGGGTAAAAAACGAGAAAAGCATTACACTGACCAATCACCGTTACAATCGAGCTTTAATAAGCAGCTTATTGAAAATCAAACGATCTTAAAAAGGTGATCTATCTAAAACTTTAAGTACTTAAAGGTAATGGAAATACCTAAATTTTCCAGGGTTAAGCATTTTGAAAAACCAAAAAAAAATTACATATTCGTACTAACGTACGTTTATGTTTATTTATTTATTGTACGATTTCAGAATTAACATTAAAATATTAAAAACAGATATATAATATAATTAAAACTTTCATTGAACTTTTTCTTTTGCTTATTTTTTTTGCTTTCAATTGGAAGGCATTTATTCCAGGTTTTAACCACACAAAAAGCTAAAATTCCTAGGACAACTAAAAAGGCAACTAAAAATGTGCCCAAGACATCCAGGCTGTGGTATACATGAAGTCCAAATCCCTGCCGGCCACTCGCATGTGCGCAGCTCCCTTGTGCCGAAGGATATAGTGGGTCCACCAAATTGCCTTTTCCATAGGCTTCATGGGTTGATCCCGATGTCTGGTTGACGTAGTCTGTGCCATTTTCCGAAGCTCTTGTCCGTTACCAGTCGAATAATGGTCGAGTTGAAATCTTCCCTTGTCATTTCCTTAAGTTGAGAACCAAGCCCAGACCCGTTCGTTGAACATGTTCCATATTGCGGAACTGGTCAAAGAAGCAGGGCAATCCCAACATGGGCTTTCCATGATAGATGCTCTCTACAGTGCTCAATAATCCTCCGTGGGTTATAAAGAGTTTTACCTTGGGATGGGCCAGAATGTCCTGCTGAGGGAACCATTTGCTAATAAAACATTCGAAGGTTTTCCTGGCAACTGCTCATCCTCGAACTTCCACAGGATTCTCTGTGGTAAACTTCCAAAAGTTTCGAGCAACACTCTTCGACGATCCTCGGACAGAGATTTACTTTTGACGTTGGTTCCGAGAGAGAAGTAGATTACTCCAGACTCACCAGCATCCTGGACAAAGTCCTCCAGTTCCGTGGGCAAAGCCTTGGGATTCTCTTCGACATGAAGTCCACCCACCTCGATAATATTTGGAACATAGGGACGCGGAGGAGCCAGTGTAAAGTGCTGGTTAACCAGGACCAAGGCAACGTTTTTGGAGATCTCAGATAGGGGTTTATCTTTAGCTGTACTAGGGAAGTTCTTTCTATAGAGCTCCTTCTGTTTTTCCGCATGCCGCCATTTATAGTTGATCCAGGAAATAGCTCGTTCCACAAAGTGAGCCAATCGTCCCCCATATGTCTCCAAATCGTGAAAATCAGAAGAGGGAGATTGGAGGTACGACATCGGTGAGACATTGCCCACTAGCTCGTCAATCTTCCAGTCTGTGCCATACGAAGCCATTCCAATTATTGGGGCCCCTAAATGGGCCGCCAGACCACAGAGCACGTCCATCCTCCAAAGATCCACTATCACAAGATCAAAATGGGACCTCTTTGGGCCGAGAACCTCGCGACGCACTACCTCGTTATTTAGCACTATGTTTGTGAGGTTCAGGGTGTATTCGTTGATAAAATCACTATGTTGCCAAGTACTCCTGGGAGAGGATGCCTTTCTAATGACCTCTGAAAGGATATCCGCAAAACGTGTTTATCACAAAATAAAAAGTCTTATAAAGAATTTTAGAGCATTACCATCAATATTTTCAAACACCTCCGGAATAGGAACGTCGTGTATATTTTTTATTGGCTCCCTTAGGGGAAACGGATTTACGGTAGTTATTTCATGGCCCAAGAGGCCAATCTTTTCAGGTAGGGTAAGGCAAAAAAGTAATGCGAAGGACTCGGTATAGAAAACAAAGCCAGGATACGAGCACTTTCCAAATATCCTGGGAGAAGACACAGTAGCAGAAAGATTCCCAACATATTTAGACCAGACATGTTCTGCCTTGAAGATCAAATGGAAGACTAAATATTTCAGTTCGTCAATGAAAAGTCTAGTTTTCTCAACTGATAAGGCGTATCAAAAGTTGGGTGCGAACCAACAAAATTTTCAAAATTGGACTGATGATATGCAAAATCAACAGACAAAGACAACAGAGGAAATGTAGTTCATTTCGTTTAATCGCATTAATCCTTACATCCACTATCAGAAATTGCTTGGGTTTCCCAATCACTTATCATTTTTAGGTGTCGAAATGCATGTACTCAAAAAAAAACCTTCATTTTCGGAAATAGTCCATGGGACTTTGTTATTCAAACATATTGTTCCATAACTTCGTACGTGACATTCATACCTTTGTCATAAGCTTAAGTTCTTAAAACAGAACTCGCAGTTTTATTGTTCAGAGGAATTTGAGTATTTAAAAATTATTCCAATCGCTTAATTTAAAATTTTCGGTTGGCCAAAAACTTATCGCAACCGTTGGCGCCAAAAATCGATAACGCCAATTGTGTCATCTCTCGATAGACAAGCGTGTTATCGCAACACGTGCACCTCTAACTTAGTACAAAATACGCAAAAAGTTTCCTTTTCCGGGAAAATTCATTGAAAAAGCGCAACAGGTGGACACTTTTACGCAATAAAACAGCAGGAATTGGCTAGTTAATCGATTCGGCATTGATTCCAAGTCGAAACAAGACTCAAAGTAATGCAGAAAGCAGCTGATTGGGAAACAGCTGCCAGCGCTGAAGACCGGCTGAAAATCTTATAACCCGGTGAGAATAAGAGGAAGAACCACCGATCCAGTATTTTAGAGCACCCAAATGTAGCCTGGACTTCACCTAAACCACTTCGACTGAGATTTAGCGAACAAATGGCGGACGAAATGGCTACCAAGGAGTCCTTCCGCGAACGGCAAAGCCAGGAATTGGAGGTGATAAAGGTGAGCAGCTGTCCCCCCTCAGTACCTATCAAACTAATCCCTTTTCTCACTTGCAACAGTCCATCTTCGGCGGCGACGTGGAGGACCTCAGACCACAGGCGAATCCTGGCCAATGGAAGCCACGGACATAAGGATCCAGCTCACCCCGCTGAGAGATTCATCTAATGGTCTAGAGACCTATGTCTGCACAAAACTGCATGTCACCTGCCCCTCAAAGTACCCCAAATTGTAAGATAAGAGTACCCTTTATAATTCATTTGCTAAACCTGTTTTTCACTTAGGCCCCCCAAAATCTCACTCGAGGACTCGAAGGGCATGTCGGATCAGGTGCTGGAGGCCCTACGCAACCAACTGCAGGCCCAATCCCAAGAGCTGCGTGGTGAGGTAATGATCTACGAACTGGCCCAGACCGTTCAGGCCTTCCTGCTCGAGCACAACAAGCCGCCCAAGGGCTCCTTCTACGATCAGATGCTACAGGACAAGCAGAAGCGCGACCAGGAGCTGCAAGACATCCAACGGCAGCGGGAATCCCTACAGCGCCAGACGCTCATCGACGAGGTGGAGCGGCGCAAGGAGATGTTCAAAACGGAGGCTAAGAGGCGCGGCGAGCCCAGGCGCAGTATGAGCGAATCGAATCCCCGGCACCCCAGCTCATCGGAGAGCTCCGAAAACTCCTCGCCTTACTATAGAGGCCACATTTACCCATCGAAATGCCTGGATCACCGTAACACGGATACGCTCTACTTCCACAAGATGGGCAGGCAAATTCAGAGGGGAGGCTGTGTGGGTGAGGGTTTCTCATGCAAAAAAGGCTCCTTATCTTAAACGTATGGTTTCCTAATAATCTTTTTTACTTTACAGGTCACTCTCAGCGGGGGTGCATCGCCTACACCGGCATAGATATGCACTGCGGCCAGCTGCTCTATATCACCGAGTGGAACATCAAGTACTGCCAACTGGAGCAACCCTGCATCGGTGGAGGAAAGTGTCACTGGAGCAGCGAGTCAAAGTGCATGGGCAGTCATCGTGTGGACGACGTGATCGCCGCCATCGAGAAGCAGGTTGCCTCGCTGGCCCAATTGCAGCACAAGAACCTCGTCTCGTACGAGTGCGTGCTTTGCATCAAGCGGAAGGAAGGGTTGCTCGTGTATTTGGTCCAAGACTTCCTCCTCGGGACCAGTGTGTTCAGCATCTCCTCCTCGCTGGGTTGGTGTATGGACGGCGCTCGAATGGTGGCACGTGGTGTTCTGGATGCCCTCATTTTCCTGCACAACAAGGGCGTATCCCACAGCCACCTGCTAGACAGCACTGTGTTTATGGACAACACGGGCAATGTGCGCGTTTCGGACTTCTCGCTGGTCCCCAATCTTCTGGAGCTCCTAAGCGGAACTGGGCAAAGTAGTAGTCGTGGGGACTTACCCGCTTTGGGTGCCCTGGTGGAGAGCTTGATGCCCACTAACAGCTACGAGATGCGCGACTTTGTAGACAAGTAATTATTCGGAAAAATAAGTTGATCATCTGCTAATTCTATGTCTTCTGAAATACAGATGCAACTCGGACCGCACACTCTCCGCTTCAGAATTGCTTGAGCATCCATTCCTGCGCTTTTACGTGGATAATGGCCAGCAGCAGGTGATGCAACTTTCACAGCAACGACATCCTAATCCTGTCCAGCGAACGGGTCCCGCCATGCCTTACCAGATACCCACACTGGCTTTAAGTCAATCCCGCCTGCGAACCGAGTTCGAGGTCCTCATGTACTTGGGAAAGGGCGCCTTTGGGGACGTGCTGAAGGTGCGCAATATTCTGGACAACCGAGAGTACGCCATCAAGCGGATACCGCTACCCGCGAGGAGTCGTCAGCTCTACAAGAAGATGACGCGCGAGGTGGAGCTGCTATCGCGGCTGAACCACGAGAACGTGGTTCGCTATTTCAACAGTTGGATAGAAAGTGTGGACGATGCCGATGCCGCGGAAATGGACAAGTTGCTGGGTGGAGAATGGTCTCAGAGTCAGCAGGAGCTCAGCGTGAAACCCCCCAAGTCACCACAACTTGGACCAACTTTGGAAGAGGATGAGGACGAAGAGGACAGCTCATCCAGCATGTGGAATGGTTATATGTAAGGAACACTTTAGTCCCTTCGATTGAAATCATTATAAATAACTGGTTTTTATCCCGCAGACCCACCATGGAGGATTCAGATTCCGATGGCATCGAATTCGTTGACTCCAATGGCAAGGTGGCTGTCTACGATGACGAGGAGGAGGAGGACTCCACCAGAGGCAAGACCAACTCACCGAAACCGCTGATGCAGGTAATGTACATCCAGATGGAGTTCTGCGAAAATGCACACTACGGTGAGTTTGGTGAAGAAATTTTCAGTTGATTTTCGATCTTTTTAATAACTATGCATTCCCATTTAGCACCGCCATCGATGACAATCTCTTTGACGACTCGGATCGCCTGTGGCGTCTATTTAGGGAAATCGCTGAGGGCCTTGCGCACATTCATCAGCAAGGAATCATTCACCGGGATTTGAAGCCGGTAAACATCTTCTTGGACTCCCACGATCAGATCAAGATCGGAGACTTCGGCCTGGCCACCACCAGCTTTCTGGCCCTGCAGCTCACGAATATGCGGCCCCTGCGCCTGTTAATCAAATAACAAGCGCGGAGGATGGCACTGGCACGGGAAAGGTGGGCACCACTCTTTACGTGGCCCCCGAACTGACAGGAAATGCCTCCAAATCCGTCTACAACCAAAAGGTGGACATGTACACCCTTGGGATCATTCTGTTTGAGATGTGCCAGCCGCCATTTGACACAAGCATGGAGCGGGCTCAGACCATTATGGCTCTGAGGAATCCTTCCATCAACATACCGGAAGCGATGCTTAAGGATTCCAAGTACGAGAAAACGGTGAAGGTAAACTAAAACCATCATTTGAAAGCTTTATAGAGTCTAACTGTTAAATAATCGTTCAGATGCTTCAATGGCTTCTTAACCACGATCCCGCCCAGAGGCCTACTGCCGAGGAGTTGCTCAGCTCAGACCTCGTTCCACCAGCCCAGTTGGAGGCCAATGAACTTCAAGAGATGCTGCGCCACGCCCTGGCCAACCCGCAAAGCAAGGCCTACAAAAATCTGGTGGCCCGCTGTCTCCAGCAGGAGAGCGACGAGGTGTTGGAGCACACCTACCACTTGGGCAGCAGTCGGGCCATGAAATCCTGGAACTCGGCCATCATAATCGACGATATAGTGTCCCTGAATCCAGTGATTGAGTTTGTCAAGGCCAAGGTTGTAAATCTATTCCGAAAACATGGAGCCATTGAGGTGGACTCACCGCTCCTGTCGCCACTTTCCGCACGGAATAGCCGTGACAATGCGAACGCCAATGCAGTCCACTTGATGACCCACTCCGGATGTGTGGTGGTCCTACCTTGCGATCTAAGAACCCAGTTTGCCCGCCACGTGACCATGAACAGCGTAAACCTCATCCGTCGCTATTGTGTGGACCGAGTTTATCGAGAGGAGCGGGTCTTCAACTTCCATCCCAAGCAGAGCTACGACTGCTCCTTCGACATCATTGCTCCCACAACGGGTAGCCACCTAGTGGACGCGGAACTCCTATCGCTGGCATTTGAAATCACCAGCGAACTGCCGCGTTTGCGGGAAAAGAATCTGGCGATCCGCATGAATCACACGAATCTGTTGCGGGCCATCCTCATCTTCTGTAATGTTCCAAAGGCTCAGTATGGAGCACTTTTCGAAGGCACAATGGATTTCATTGAGTCCCGCATCTCACGCTTCCAGTTTCACTCAAGTATTACAGGGATAATGGAGAAGTCGCGAACCTCTGGCCAAACTCTGATGGACATGTTGTTGGCCAATTTTCTGCTGACTGGTTCCAGAAGCACGGTGGATGATTCGGCGTTAAAATCTCTGATGCGCGGGAAGGGCGAAGCGGCTTCGCTGGCGAGAGGAGCCTTGAGGGAACTGGAAACCGTTGTGGGATTGGCTTACAGTCTAGGTGTAAAGGTAATAATTTTACTTTTAAAGGAGTTACTTTTTCTAACCATCTAAAATCTAGTGCCCCATTCACATTTGGGCTGGTCTGCCCATCAGCTTCGACCGTGCTAGCAGCGGTGGAATCGTGTGGCAGATGACTGCTGACTTGAAACCCAATCGCTCTGGACATCCTTCGGTTCTGGCGATTGGTGAGAGATACGATTCCATGCTGCATGAATTTCAAAAGCAAGCGCAGAGCTTTAATCCCACCATGCCCGCACGAGGAGTTCTTAGTGGAGCAGGCTTGACATTCTCCCTGGACAAACTGGTAGCTGCAGTGGGTGTAGAGTACGCTAAGGACTGTCGAGCCATTGACGTTGGCATTTGCGTGTGTGGGACTCGACCGCCGCTCAAGGATGTGACCTACATCATGCGACTGCTCTGGTCGGTTGGCATCCGTTGCGGCATTGTGGAAGCCGCCAGCGAACTAGGGGACGAAGCACAGGATCTTGCTCGACTAGGAGCTTTACATGTCATCCTTGTGGCGGAGAACGGCTCGCTGAGAGTGAGATCTTTCGAGAGGGAACGTTTCCAGGAGCGTCACCTGACCAGAACCGAACTGGTGGAGTTCATCCAGAAGCTGCTGCGAACAGATGGGTTCAATGGAGCCACCGTGGAAAACTCCAGCCAGTTGTCAAACCTGGGAGCTGGCGACAACAGAAGCAGTGGTGGGCGAGAAAGGGAACGCGGCGAGAACGGACTCAGCACCTCTGCCTCGAATGCCACCATTAAGAACAGCTACAGCCAGCTGCCGAATCTACAGGTAACGTTCCTCACCCACGACAAGCCCACGGCGAACTACAAGCGGCGTCTGGAGAACCAAGTGGCCCAGCAGATGAGCTCCACATTATCGCAGTTTATCAAGAAGGAGACCTTTGTGGTGTTGGTGGTGGAGCTGCCGCCGGCTGTCGTTAATGCCATTGTGGGGGCCATCAATCCCCGAGAGATACGCAAAAAAGAGACTGAACCGGAAATCAACTTTGTGATTGAGCGGTAAGTGAATGAACCTTCATATTTCTTGCGCTTGCCCAGACTCTATAAACTTCTAGATTTCCAAAATACAAACGCTATATATCCGAGATAAACGACGAGGTGATGGACTATCTGAGCGATGCCAAAACTCCAATAGTTGCCTTGTACAGCATTTCCGATTCCTACTATCGCGTCATCATCTAGCCAACGCCAATGCATAGATTGGGCGGCACTACTAGTAGCTTTCGCCATTAGTATAAGCTTTGAGTTGTCACAAATGATTTGGGCCAAAATTCTACTTAGTTGGCTGTCTTCCGTGCCATTTACCTTTTTGTCGAATCAAAATTCGTTTTTATAAGACCAGTTTAATGATGGATTGAGTGGAATTGAAATTTTTGAGATTGTACGTTTCTGGATCTGAAGAAAATATTTTGTTTCTTTGGCGAAGAACGAGGTTCTGCCATTTCATATAATTCTTCTCTTATTTATAAGCAAATAGATTATATATTACTTGGTTAAAAGTAAAAAACCCTTACTGATGCTGTTCACGCCTAAGTCAAAGGAATAGTTGAAAACTTGCAAATAATTCCTTGTTCAATTTGTAGAAATATAATTTAACAAGAAAGCTCGTCGAAGAATTCAAGTATCAGAGTTCAAAGTAGTATAAAGTATAAGTTAAAGAAGAGGCTCATGGTTTTCATAGAAAATCTTCCAAATTGATTTTTATCCTGGTTTCAAATCCAACAATAAAGTTACGAAGAGGGCGGTCAGAGTTGTGAATCTTCATCCATATTTTTTTATATACGTACAAGTTTTAAACACGAAATTTTTAAGCCTACAATAAAGTTGCATGTTTTGAAAGTGTCTTCCCGAAGGGGAAACATAACAAACGAAAACTGTACAAGTTTTATCCACATCGCGGAACTCACGTTCCACTTTCTCCGGCAGATTTGTTGAGCGAACGGGGGATCGCCGAGGCGGGTCCTTGGAGAACCTTTCGCGAGAGGCGCATGAAACCGGAGACGGGATCGCGGCCAAAGTACTTGACCTGGATCTCCTGACCCACTTCCAGATTTAGCGCAGAGGGATGGGCAATCTTGCGCTGATCCAGCTGCGAGTTGTGCAGCAGAGCGGGTGGCATACTGGGATATAGGATGACCATCACTCCAGTGTCCCGCAGTTCTGTGATCTTGGCAGAGTAGATTCCGCCAAACTCCAGGTCCGGCACTCGCTCCTTCACCATGTAGCCTTCGATTAGTTCCTTCGCCTCATCCATGGCAGCTTGAGAAGGTGCGAATACATTGAACTGGGTCTCATCGGCAGCGGTTAGGGTGGTGCCCGTTTCTAGATAGATCCGCTTCATGTGGAGGCCACTGGGTCCAATCAACTGCGCCGCTGGTGCGGCTCCACAGTTAGGGTCTCGCTTACTGGCCAGCTTTCCTTGGGGTATTTTCTGAAGATAGAAGGATGATAAGTAGATGAAACCAGGCGTTCCAGTTTTTTGAAATTTAATTTACCTTGGTTCCCTGATAGCCTCGCTCATGATGTCCAGAATCTTGGATTTGGCATCGGTTGCCTTTTGCAGAGATTCCATCACTACCTTTAGAGGAATGCCCGGAACCTTGAGGTCCGCCTGGATGGCGGTAAAGCCCTTCCGCGTGCCCGCCACCTTCATGTCCATGTCGCCCATGTAGTCCTCGATACCAGAATGTCGGTCAGGATGCGGTAGTCCTGCAGGTGCTTGGTGTCCTCGTTCTCGAACTTGGTGACTAGGCCAATGGCCACACCCGCTGCGGGCGCACTGACTGGCACTCCGGCGTCCATGAGAGCCAAAGAGCCACCACAAACGCTGGCCATGCTGCTGCTGCCGTTGGATTCCAGAACTTCGAGGTGAGCCTCACTGTGAAAGGGTAGTCGTTGGGCAGGGTGGGCAGCAAGGATCTCTCCGCCAAGGCGCCATGGCCCAGCTCACGGCGACCCACTGGACCAATCCGACCCACTTCACCCGTGGCATACGGCGGAAACTCGTAGTGCAGCATAAAGTTCTTGGCCTTCAGACCACCGCTTTCCAGAGCAGCCAGCGAGTCCAGTTTCATCGCGCTCTCCGGCGAATCCAAGCTAACCGTGCAGAAAACCTGCGTCTGACCACGCTGGAATAAGGCGGATCCGTGGAGCGGCTTGTACATGTCCACCTGGCAGAAATGTTCCTCAACTGGTCGTACTCCCGTCCATCGCAGCGAAGTCCCCGCTCGAAGATCAGCTCCCGGAAAATGGATCTGCTAGCCTGGTTAAATAGCTCGCCGATTTGCGAAGGTTCCGTGTCGGGAAAGGAACTCCACACCTTGTCGATGACGTTGGAGCGCACCTCGTTGACCGCGTTGTCACGCGAGATCTTGTCGTGCTGTGAGTCCTGGAAGATCTCTCTCAGCCGCATCTCGCACATGCTCTTTACAGCCTGCTCCAGATCCGGGTCTACCTCGGCTGCCGACTCTACTTCGCGTTTCTGCCTGCCGTAGGCCTCTGCAGCCGCTCGATCTCGTGGATGATGAATTGTGCTTCCCGGGTGCCCTGTTTGATGGCCTTGAGGAGATCCTGCTGCAAAACCACATTGCCCTTGCCCTCCAGCATGACCACGAGGTTCTGTTTGGTGGCGGAGACTACAAGATCCAGTTGCGAAGACTGTAGCTCCCGGCGAGTGGGGTTAATCACCACCTCGCCATTGCAGAGGCCAACGCTGGGGGAGATTGAAGGTGTTATCCTGGGGACTCTACTTGGGTTGCCCTGTTACTACTAACCGCACTGCTCCAATGGGTCCGTTCCAGGGAATATCACTCAAAGACAGCGCCATGGAGGCGGCATTGATGGCCAGGACATCCGGACTGTGCACCGCATCCATGGCCAGCATGTTGCACACCAGCTGTGTCTCCGTGCGGTAATCCTTGTGGAAGAGCGGGCGCAGCGAGCGGTCAATCAGGCGGGCGGACAGGATCTCCTTCTCCGAGGGACCCAGCTCCCGGCGCATAAAGTTCATGGGTATCCTCCCGGAGGCGGCGTTCTTCAGGCGGTAGTCCACCACGAGCGGCATGAATCCCTGGCCGGGATTGGGCTTCGATTTGGCCACCGCGGTGACCATGACTGCGGTGTCGCCCATTTGGCACACTGCTGTTCCGTTGGCGAACCTCGCCAGGCGGCCGGAACTGAAGCTCATGTTACGTCTGTGGAGGAGTGGGTTTATACAACTGGAACTCGAGGTGGAGGCAGCATACTCACCCATTGCTGAAGTTCACCTCCACGGACGGAGCCTCTCCGTTGACAGTGCTCTGGATTCTTCGTTTTGGACCGGAACTGGATAAACTTAGGCATTTGAGGCGATAATTAAGCAGCTTCAGCGTTTTCCTCGTGAAAATCATGGCCATTATCTAAAAGTGCCGGTTCACTCCGGCCAAGACGAAAGGTTAGTACCCTGCAAAAGTAATGTGTCAACAAGAGCATTTATTCAATAGCAATAATTACTTTTGATTTGTTTTTCCCTTTTAATTATGTAGTTTATTATGGCACTTACGTATAACTTTTAAGTCATTTATTCCAAGAAATAATATGCCCATTGAAAAGAAGGTAGAGTGAGCAACATGTGTGTGTTTAGCGTTGCCACCTGACGACCTTAGTAAACAGCTGGAAAATAGCTTTAAAATTAAATATTATTTTAAGTAATTAATTTCATTTTTAGATATCGGTCCTAGTTTGTATTAACTTCATTGAAGTCAATTTAAAACATATAACCGTTTCCGCTCAGGACTAGACAAAAAATACCAAATATAGCTACTAAACAGAGTTGTAGATGGCGTGTTAGTAAGCGCCAAGTTTAAAAGTCACCTAAACTCGTAAAAAACCTAATAAACATCAGGCGTCCGCTAATGAATGCGTTGTGTGCAATCACAAGCCCAACGGGATTTTTAAAATCGATGCATACAGAAAACCTTGGAAACTTTTTTTTTTAGTAAATTGGTGTTTTATAATATACCTAATGTAGATTTGCTTTAGTAAAACATTCACTGAATATTTTAAACATTCACTTAATTGTTTAAATATCCTTATCATGTTTTTTCCAAAAAGATATATCGATACGATATTTTAAAAAATATTTGACAACAAGTGTTACCATCTCCGTTAAATAAAAGCTCCCCTGCATTCCGCTAGACGACGTGGTATTTTCGCTTCTGCGAAAAACTGCAGCATATCACCCCACCGCCGGCGACGGTCACACAGAAAACAAAAAATTTTTTCGAAAGCAGACACATTTCGCGGATCCATCGGGGACTTGTGCAAAAAGCCCAATTGCGAACGCCGTCGTGCCGCCGTGAAAACGCCGCTAATCAGAAGACCTGGTCAGAATCAACCGTTTGCCTCTCGCGACGTTCCTTAGGAAAAGCAGAAATTTTCTCGCCGTATTTTTCGTATTTTCACCGTCAGCGAAACGCCGCGTGTGTCGTTGTGTGCGTGTGTGTGTCTGTGTGTGCCCGCCCGCCCATCTGTGTGAGTGTGAGAGCGCGCGTGTGTGAGTGTCAGTTTTGGTGAGAGCCGCAACAACAACAAAAACAGCATAAAAGAAAACCAAAATCGACAAATGCGGTCAAATTGAAAAGAAAAACAAAAATCAAAGAGTATATCTCGCGCAAAGCCAAAAGGCAAAGTCAAAAAGCACAAAGCCAGGAAAAAAACGCAGATTTTCCAACGGAAAAGCCGGAAAATTGCCCACTAGGCGTGTCGCTGCTTCTTCTTTCAAATTGTTTATGCTGCAATTGGCGTAGTGAGCGAAAGACAGAGAGAGAAAAAGAAAGGTCTTATCAACGAGCGCTTATCAGAATCCGCAGATTTGTTGCGAATAAATTCCAACTAGCTGAAGTTCGCAGTAGAACCGCACTAAGCGGTAAAAAAAGAACATCAAACAAACAGGTAAGTCCCATTAATCAGGTGGAAATCGCTGCCTCTTCCTCTTCGATGGTCACACCTCATTTGCTGTCCCCCTCTGATGCACTTAAGCACTTCACGTAACGGTAATTTACACACACGTTGGCCTTGTCTCTCTCGTCTAATTAATTGCATTAATGCCGCAGGACTCGCGGCATCCCTCTTCCCCATCCCCGTCCCCGTCTGTCCATCGATTAAAAAGTGAAAGCAATCGGAAATGCTTATCAGCTGGTTCTTCTTCGTTCTTTAAACACACACACAGTCATGAAGGCAAACAAACAAACAATGCACAATATGAATATTTATAGCTCATTATTTATTGTCACTTTGTTTTTGTCGCCTATCCTTTTAACCGCAGAAGAGGGCCGATCGATAAGTAATCGAAAAGTTATTGAAATAATCATTTGAATTGAGGGATCACATAAATTCCTTATGACTAATCAACACACAAACAAAAAAACCCGATTTATCATTTACCACAGCTCGTTCTATTCATTCATACGGATATCCTAAAAATTCCCTTATTATGTTACAAGTTCAGAAACTTTCATTAAGACTATTGCTCACTCGAGAAAAATATTAGAAAAAACAGTGATTAATGTGTCAAGTGTCGTCACTATATGTCTCAGATTTTAAAATCATGTTTTAATAATATTAATATTGTCATTAGTTATTCATCACCCGTCAATTCTTTTCTGTCAAGGAAATGTTTTAAGAAATGCTAAAGTATTTGATTTTTTGAGTAATTTTTTGTGCAATTCACATTATAAATCAATGATCACTTGTCAGATATTTAGAACTACCAAAATCTTAAAAATTTAACAGCAATCTATTTGCGGTACGTGCACTTTAAAAATCCGTGTATTTATAGCATGAGCATCAAACTAAGAACTCGAACCAATTAGTGAAACATTTTGAAATCACCATAAATCACCATCCATTGCCGGGGTAATAAATTCCCGTTTCCATTTGCAGCTGACAAATGTGAGTCGTTAAAAATAGTTTTTCCCCAAAAGCGAAAGTCTTTCCCCACATTTTCAAGGACGGCCCTCGCAATGCTTCGATGTGTTTCCCTTATTTTCCTTATCGCCTCTGCATTTCGAGTTGTTTTTTCTGTGGGACGTCATCGGCAGCCGGGTGTCTCTGATTGTTCCAGAGTTTCTGAATCGCTGGCTGCATAATTAAGACGGGCTGGACGTTTTGCTGATAAACGTTTCCGCTTTTCATCGGACGATTGGAGTCAATGTGCCATTTACAGAAGAACCCGAACTCTGCTCTGCAGATGGTTAAAGTCCAATATCTGTGATGTGTGACCCCATGTGGTGCCCTTTTCAACTGTCAAGTCGGAACTATTGTTTCGCCGTTTCAAGGGCTTGCGTCACAGTTTATCGACTCGAATGGCAACCCATTCCCACAGGGTGACGTAGGCAATTGGCAGGAACATGTGTATCCTGTGTATCCCGTATCCTGGGCCCAGGCCAGACCAGACAACAATAAACCATCAGTTCCAACCCCATGGGCAAATAAAACCCAATCGAATATTATTATCAATGAGGGCAGGACCCAAATGACGAACCCCATTTAGTGCGTGGAGGAGGGTTGGCCACATGCTGCTCTTCCCTTGGCTGGATATCATCGCCAGGACTTGAACCCATCCCTGGATGTCTCCAATCCCAATTCCAATCCCGACCACGCCCACATGCCATCATCATCGCCTTCTGCGCTAATTTGGCGCGACTTTGACACTTGTTAGCCAATATGTTTTTGGCTCGTGTTAATGGCCCAACGGGAATTGATATTAATTGCCCCGCACGCAGCCCAAAATGGGCGTGGTCGTTGGTCAATATTGTTAGTCCCTAGAACAAAAAAGCAACAAAAATAGAGAATACAAATGCCCCGAAAATCAGCTTAAATCAATTTTTTGTGGTCGCCGCCTTTGTTCACTTTCTGGTTTTTTTGGCCAAAATCGGCTTACCAACTTTCGGTGCCTGTTATTCTTGTGGCTTTGAATTTTATAAAAGAGCCGAGGGTTCCCTCCTTGTCCAATCTAATTAATCCTGCCACCCCTGATTGGGAAAATGGGATTTTCTTTGCTTCTAAGAAACTAAATTTCCCTCACCCTTTTTTCGAGCCATTGAAAACTGAAAACGCTCCAGAGGTTTCCATTTTTCCAGGCCCTGTATTTTCCTTTCATGTTCCCTAATAAAACTAAATTCAATTAGAACTTGCAGTTGGAGTTCCCTGTGCGTGCGGGAAAAGTTGAAGTGAAATGTGAGAAAAGTTTTGCGGGATATGTCGGAAAAGTGAACGAGGGTTGAGGGATAGTGTAAATGGGCGGAGGGTTACGGCCTTATTAGTTGCCAAAGGAAGTCTCGGAGGGCATGCAAATTTAATCGAATCACTTCAAGTGAAAAGCAATTAATGATGGTTGCTTTGCTTTAATTTCAAATAGATAAAAGGATAGTCCCTAATTGGGAAAATGTAGGATACAGTTTGCTGCGTGAATAAGATTCGTTGGAAAGATTAATACTTCCTTGATTATACGCTTTATCAAGTTTGTTTTTTTTTTTTGATTTCGTCTAAATCAAATTCTGAAAAATATAGTTTCACCCTCGAACTTGAATCCAATCCTAACAATACCATTCTCTAACCTAATTTGTCATGGCTAAAGGTTTTCTTAAACCCTCAGGTCTGGGCTTGCTTAGGTAATTGCCACACTTTCAATCCATATCCAATCCACCTGCCAAATTCGATGAGCAATTCCCCCATCCTAGCGGGCTAGAATTGATTCCTAATGGCCTCTCCTCCGTGCTTCTCATCTTTTCCAAGAGCTTACCATCCGGCAATCCTCTTTCCTTAGGGGGTGGAACACATTCCGGGCGAACACCTGAACTGAACTGACGCACCTGCCCCCTCTGCCGTCGAATTGATAAGAAGAAACAGAAATTCTTGGTGCTAATCAACAAGACGGGAATGACAGGTGGGCGGCGGTGGGCTGATGGAGCAAACAGAAGCCAAGCTGGCGTAATGACCTTGATAAACTTTCGTTCCGAGGAGCTTCCATCGAGTAGATTTGCCGCTTCTCCAGCTCCGTTTTCCCCGAATATTTGGCTAGGGGCTATGTTATTTGCTCTTGTCTGCCGAAAAACGTTTTACATTCACAGCCGCCCCCGAAATAACCACTGCCCCTCCCCCACGGAATAAAAACAACTCGTAAAGTACACATAGACAAAAAAAAACGAAGTATTCTTTTGGCTTTTTTTTGGTCCCTTCCTGTGCCCAAAATTGTTCGGCTTATGCCGCCTCGACGCTTTTGTTGTCTCTTTATTTTTCAGTTTTTAGTTTTGATTAAAGACAAACCCCAGTCCCTTTTCACCTTGCTTTGACTGAGTGTTATTACCACTTTGTCGCATCAACCTTTAAACTTTGCCATTTTATGGGGAGCTCTGCTTTTCTGCCTTTTTCGCCTCTATCCAAGTATTGTTTGCCGGCGCATTTGAGGTGGGTCCAGAAATTGAATTTTTTCGGAGCTCTGCCTCTGTCAACACACAAATAGGATATCATGATCCATCACCCGACGAGGCAGAGAATTTCAAATAATTATGCAAAGTGTCATTGAAACTTTGCAGCCCAAAAACAGCAGGGAGAAAAAGGTGAATCGTTGTCGGCGTCTCCTGCACTTAAAAACCAATCTCTTGTGCATTGACCCTCGCTTTTAAGCCAAAAAGCAGCAAACCAAGGCAAAAACATAAAGAAACGGCAACGCAACGTGGCCAACACCTTGACTTTGTCTCGGTCAAGTTTGGCGACTTGGCAACAGCGACTTCTTGGCCAAATGAAACGAAAAGGGTGGAGCAGGAGCCAAATGAAATTGATCAACAGTAGTCGAAGAAAAGCACACCCTTCTTTACTGAAAACCCATTTTAAACATGTTAAAAGCAATGAAACTAATTGTATTGCATTTTAAACCATTTCAACTGATTGTGCAAAATTATTCAACCGTCAAAAACATTTTCCAATCGATTGCCAAGTATTGTGCAATCGTTTATTCAAAAAACGCGTGATTAGTTCCTTTGAAATTCCAAATTAAAAACAAAATTATTCAGCTGTCAGAAGCGCTTTTGTAAAATTTACTAGAGTGTTTACCCAGGATTTAAGCAAAAGAGGAAGCGGCTTTCAGCTGCGTTTAAACCGGTTGGGTGCCCACATTTAAATAATCTTATTTATATATAATTAAAATAACATATGGGTTAAGACCTTGAACTTAACTAAACCAGTTTTTAAAGAGCCAATTTCGTAAAGGCTGTGGCTCAATTTAAAAACTCAAAAATACTTTTTATCGCAGTGATTTTTTCGGCAGACAAAGAGTCAAATCGTAACAAATTGATTATGACTAGCCAGCAAAAAGGGTATAGCCACATTTTTATGCAAAAACTGGACGGCAGAACAGGATTTTTTCGCCCAAGTGGCAGACCGAATCCAATGGAACCCAATTCGAGGTCCCCGCCATACGTGTAGAATTCATTAACCATAATGCGGGCTGAGGGGAGGGAAGAAATCGGAGGGTGCCTCAGTTTCCAGGAACTTTTGCTTAAACCTAATCCTGGGTGGTCCGCTGCGTTCGTTGTTGCCACAATGTTGGCCATAAAGAATTGTACCTAAAAACCCCGATTCACGTTAACCTTAAACACTTATGTTGCAGTTCTTAATTCCATAATTGCGTTACTCACTTTCAGTTACCCAACCAGCCGTCAGCAAATCGGTCATTTCCATTTCGAGCAGCCAAAGGTGAGTTTACAATTCTCTGGAATTTTAGCAATTTTATCTGACCAATTGATAAGACACACTATTCACGTTCCGCCATAAATTATGTCATAGATCGACCATACGGAAGCCGCATTTGATTGACGAGCACGGCACGCTCATTCAAATGAATTGACATTCATTCAGCGACAGTCTGGTTGCAATTTTCTCCCAAAGAAATTCCTAACTGGCATCGCTTCGGCGAACTGCTATCGTTAAGTGTTTTCTGACGTCGGATGAGTTTGTTTTTTCAGTGGCCAATCGCGTTTTTTATTGAATTTATATCTGTCCCGAGGAGCACAAATCATTTTTCATTCACTTTACAAGAGAGAATCATTGTGCAAACATTTATGGCGCTTAACGTTGTTTCTGGTGTTACTCACCCATTTGCTTAGAGTGGGCTTACTTCTCGAGGGGTCTATCAGTTACTTGCACTCTTGGCCGAAGAAGTTTTGTGCTCGATAACCAAAGGAGTACCAGACGAATTTCACTACGCAAATACTTTTAATAATAGCTTTCTGTATAATTCCATAACTGATTGAGCGGTTTTGTTGATAAGGAATTCAGATTGCACTTATCAACATGCTAATAATACTTATACAGTGCATATTTTGGCTATTGTAAAGATTCTTTAACAGTGAAATACATATTATCTCAAAGTATTTCAGCCCTCGTTATGTTCCTTAATACGAAATCTATTGATAACTCATAAGTAAAAGTTTGAAGATTGTGGTTATCAATATGGGAACCCCGCTTAATATGCGAAGTATTTCTGAAGATCCTAACCTATTTAGCAGAATATAGCAGTTGAAAGAATAATAAAAGAATAAAAATAATAACATTTTTCAAGGGTTATAAAAACATAAACTTCCGTGTAGCTTTAACAGTAAATTTAATGGTAATAAAAAACGAATAATCCTTTAAAAGTGGGGTGTACATTTTTATGGCATCAGAAGGTTGCTTGGATCCTCTCGAGTGTGCTGCATTTAAACTTGTTATTTATTGTTATAAATTTTTAAACATTTGTCCCTCGCCTCCACATTTCCAAAGTTGTGTGCCTTTTGTTACAGCGTTGACATTTTGCTGCAAACACGGGGACACAACATTTGTACTGTGCAACAACAAACGGCCTTTGTTGATTCTTGGGCTCACATATATGGGGAACTTTTGCCTAGGTAATTTGCCAGCGACGCCTTCAAAATGGAGCTGGGGGCGTGGCAGCAGGGCCAGGCGATTAGCAACAAAATGCAAACTTGTTAGCAACATATTTTTTCCGAGTCCCAGGGTAGAGCGCAAAAGTTTCTGCTGCACTTCAAAATGTAGTTTGTTATTTTTTGCGTCACCCGTTTTCTGCGCTGCTGTAACTGCAGTTTCCATTGCACTTGCCAAGTTTATGGGGCACTCGAAGTGACAAAGAAAGTTTCCGGGCCCATTCCGGAGTATTTCCAAACTCGCAGCTGGCATTTGCCATCGAGCATTTACAATATATCCTATCCCATTCCCATTTGGCAAGGTCCTGTGCAGGACAGGAAGAAACGGCGACGTCATGACGAGTTTTGGCCCGAAATGTTTATGAGCTCATAAATTCTGACACAACACCGTCGGTCGTCAGATACTCAGATACTCCCCCTGAGTTTTTTGTCTGGCTACCTGGGAGTTTGCCTTTCGCGTCTTTCTTTTTGTTTTTTACGCGTCTGACAACTTTTGGCACATTTGTCGTACATCAAATTAGGAGCAGAATGCCCGACGGCGCGAAATGATTGAGCATTTGCATTAAGCCGAATCAACACACAGGTACACACACAGGAATGCAAAAGAATCGTGAGGAATGTTGTATCTTGTAGCTGGCGAAGGTGTCGACTGGCCGAATCCCTGCAATTACTCAAATAAACGATTTCGATCAATTACTTATGGGTGTGAGGTGGTTATTTATTCCAATTGAATCAAGTAGGTGGGTTTTTTAATTCTCCCCGGGTGCCAAAGAATTTCTAAATGTACTGGCCTTGGTCCGGTGTAACCACAGGTTGTATTCAAGTTTATTTTTTGTATGAAAGGTCTTAGAATACGAGAATACGAGGGTTTTCTATGGAACTGTTCCAAAAAAATCACGTAGTTTATGAAGTCAGGAGTGCAGCCCCCAAAATGTCCCTTGATTGTGCGAACACGTCATCATTGTCCCTTGGTCAATTTGCAGCTATTTCGGTTAGCAAAAAGCCAAGGAACACAAAGACACAAGACCAACAATAAACGTGGGTGTTGGCCTTCCGCGGAGGGAGAGTGGGAAAACTTTGGGCAAATATTGACTCAGTTATACGAGTTCCATTTTTATTCGTCCGCCGACTCGAGTAAATAAAGCATTTTCAAATTTATGCATATGCATGTCAACTCAGCTCGGCTCGACTCAACTGGCTGAGTGCCGTTCTCGTCATTCGTCATCGCTGCCATCTGCACTGCCGCCTGGAAACTTGGCTTTATTTTAGCCAACTTCAAGTTCTATTCACTGGCAGTCAAGGTCGTGAGACCCATAAATATCTGGGTATTTTCGCAGAGATTTAAGACAATGCCAATTCCCTTGGATGTGAACATATTTACTCCGCTGAAATATCTAGTTATTTCTATGTGTCCTCTCTTAAAATCAATAAATATTTTTCCATAGCTTTTCCAAGCACTTACATCCATAATAATCCTGATTGCTTGGACTACATCGAATTATAATTAATCGATCTGGAATACATTCAATATATAGATTGGGTTCTCTCATATTTAGGTAGCTCTGCCTTTAGCTCCTTATAAAAATTCCCCTGGCTAGTTTCCATCCATGTGTGCAGCTCTGTTGTCCAAATACCTGGCCAGTTCTCCAGTCCGAGTCCCTGTGCATTGGCGTCATCTGCTGTGTTGGCTTAGCTCTCGGCCTCGCTGGGCCATTTGGCCAGGTCTGGTGACCTGTACCTGACATTTGCTCAACGGCCGGGCCAGTCTTCTTCGGACCGACCGACGATTGGCCTCCCCCAGGTCGAATTTCGAGAGCAGCATCGGTGCGAACTGATGCACCATAATGTTTAATTTATAATTAAAAGCGTTCATGGGCTTGGGTAACTCTTAATGCCACACGAAATGAGATCAAAGACAGGCAGTCAAGCGTCGCATCATGGACTTAAAGTCGCCTTATAAACATTGGGCATAATTACACCGAAATGCTCTCTGCCATCTGCAATTCGGGATTCAATAACTTTTCCGATGGCATTCGAATGACAGAACACAACCTTGAGTGTATCGATTTTAGAACAGACGATGGAAACTTTGTGTCATTAGGGGAAATGGAAATTGAAATGGAAATTTCAATCCCGCTCTGATGGACAATCGGTTTACGTGCTGCCATTGCATTTATGATGGCATTTGCCTCAAAGCCCAAAAAAAGGAAAAATATAGAACAACCGCTGTTCGTTGATTGATAAATTCGTTAGCGAGGGCATGTAAAACTTAGAAAAACAAAAAGGCAGAGAGGCGATCGATTTCTGATTGGTTTGCCGTTCGATTAGGAAGACGGCGAGATTTACACGAATCGGACGTGTGCTTTGTTTGGCTTTCTGTATCTGTATCTCTGTATCTACGGCTGTATCTATATCGGCTGCAATTACGACACGCTTGTCTATTTGTTTATGCATTACACAGCGAAAGAGCCGCAGATCCCAGCGATTTGACCGGCGAGCAGCCATTCATAAAACCACAACAACAGCAGCGACAAGCTTTTTACGCAATCGCCAGCCTTGTGCCAAAAAATAATAATAGTAATAATGCGCAAAAATAATAATAATAAATAAATAAAAACGAGCGCATGAGCCAACGGCCGGATTCGAATCCGATTCGAAAATAAAATGCCTCAAGTTTTGCATTAAAATCGCATGCACTTTGTGTTGAAAAATCAATTAAAAGCGCCGGCCGTCGCTGGCAATTAATGCAAATAGCCAGAAATAAAACTAAATTAAGAGCTATGCGAACTCGAATGAAATGTAAACATGCAATCCCCAGCCGAGAGCCAGTAATAAAGAATGATTTAAGAATATTTTAAACGTACGCTCTTAGTATTTATACACCATAAATACTTGTATTTCTTGAAAATGGAACAAATGCACGAAATATTTGTGCAGCAGCAAATGCAAATAGTCAGTTGCAGATGAAAAATGCTATCAATAAATTGAAATTTTCAATGGAAAACCAGCTTGGGAGTATGTGCGATTGAAGCTTTCAATTGTTGAATTTTAATATTGGGGTAAACAGGGCATAATGTGTGAAATTTGATGATTTCTCCTTTCGACAAACACATTTTTGACTTGCGAGAGTATTGTGGATTTCCATTTTACATTTTTCATATTTTTTCTCGAACAAAAGTTGAGTATTAAAAATCATTTTTAATGACGGGGGCCCGTTGCCAAAATCCAAATCCCTTGGAAAGTACAACCATACAGAAACACTCACGTGGGAGCTCGAAAAAAGCGAGTAAGAACCTGTTTCTAACAAGGCGGCGCTTGGACTTGCTTAGACACTTTGGAATAGAATGATTAAACGAATGTTTATGCATTGTGTATGCTGTCGATAATTCCAAATGACGTCACTGTGACGTCAAGCACAAACCGCTTTTATTTTTATTTATTTATTTCTGTTCCTCCTTGAATTAATAGCAGAGGGGGTTAAACGGGGCCGGCGGCAAATGCCAAATTAAAACATGTACACAATGTCAATAATACATCGTCATAGTATTCAAATGAAGTTTGACAGACACACACAGAATGGCAGAAAGAGTAGACACAGGTGGCCTTATTTTATTCAGTTTTATTCGGGCGAGTGGTAAAAGCCGAGCTGCGGACTTGGTCAAAACGCGGGCCTTGGCCATTATGGTTGCCAATGTGGGTTGGCATTTATGCCGCCCGCCATCGCTGTATTTATATCCCCTGTCTGGCCAAAGCGATTCGTCAGATAATTTGTCA